GTACCCCTCCCCCCCCCCCCTCCCCCCTCCTCTCTCTCTCTCGCTCCGTGCATTCGAGCGTTAAAGCCGCGGTAATTTGTATAAATTAACGGTCCAATGGTGGGATACAAACAGCGTTTCAATGCTTCGTAGATTGGCGAAAGTTCCATTGGCCAGGGATCTGATGTTGTTATCGTAGAGGGACAACAGAGTGAGGCTGGTCAGATCTCGGAACAGATCGGTTCGTATGCAGGATATCTCGTTCGCGTTCAGCAGCCTGAAAAGTTCGTTTTGTGTCGTCAATTTACGCCCCACTCTCGATCCGCCTGCGCTCAATCCGCGGAATAATTGAACGTGTGGACGGGAGTAGTGTTTATTTTAAAATTGATCGAATTATTATTAAGCAGAGCGAACGAAAAAAAAAAAAAATTGATCGAATCGAAATTTTTCTTCATTGCCGAGGGAAAAAGTGGATCACGTTTGAATTAATCGTCGTTGCGTTTTTAATATTGCAAAGCGATCTTTTGCCGAGAATTGGAAAAAAGAGAAGAAAGAAGAATAAAAAAATTCGTCCACGTTTAAAGATAAAAATTGAAGAGGAATGAAATTATTTAAAAATTATTTCTTGCCGATTTGTATTATTTATTGTGGCAATAATTAATGCGTTTTGCACAGACTTACAGTAACTGCAAATTGGTCAATCCTTGGAACAATCCGCTAGGCAATTCGGTGATTTTGTTTCCGTACAATACTCTGCAAGCCGAGGACAAAATTTTATTCGTAAAAAAAAAGAAAAAAAAATATTCCTTACTTCGATTCAAATAATTTTCAATTCAATACGCACAGTGATTCCAACGATTTCAACCCGTGAAACGCATCGGCCGCCACCTTTTTAATTTGATTGTTGCTGAGGTCGCTGCAGACGGACGGCATCCGGGAATAAAGAAAGAAAAAAAAAAAAGGAAAAAATAGAAAAAAATTAAACGTCGTCAGATAAAATCGCGTACATGGAGAAACATAAATTGGATTAATCGCTAACGTCACTCACATTCTACGCAGTTTTCTGTACGGGGAGAAAGCCTTGGGCGGAATTTCCGTGATACGATTCTGCTCCAAACGTCTGCGAATGATTGACAACATAGAGGATAAGTTAACAAACTTTCAGCGATTGCTCCATTTTTTTCTTCTCTCTCTCTCTCTCTTTCCGCGTAGAAATTGCGCCACGGGAGGAAAGGGAAATTTGGCGAGCATCAAATTAATTGGTTTTTATTAACAGCGCGACAATCATCATCATAGTGGAAACGTCAACGTCAACCGTTACATACACGGTTTTTCAATTATAATGCAATTAACCGTTTTGTAACACCGTGGAATTTTATTTATTCCGTTGCATTTACTGAAATTAATTTAACAGAGAGTGTATAGAATAAACGTAATCATATTTCATTCATCGAACAATCTATTTTCTCTTTTCTTTTTTTTTTTGTTTCACTAAAAAAAAAAAATTTTTTTTAATCAATTCCGACCTTTCGAAATTTTTCGTTCAAATTCCATTTTCATGCTAAATTAACATCGTAGAAAAGAAATTGATACGAATGGTTAAAGTTTCGTCGTTAATTGAAATCGTTAATCCAAAATTCGACAAGGTTTAGAATCTAAATGTTATTCATCTCAAATTCCATTATTATTATTATACTAATTTTACACTAATTTAATTATCATCATACCGTTTATAATATAAAGTTTCATAAATGAGAGATATTTGGCAAATTCTACGCGGTGGTTTGCGACAAAGTAATACGAACAATTCGGTCGTGTCCTCCGGGAGATGAGTGGGCACTTTCGTCAAAGAATTCTCCCTGCAGTCGACGATACCATCAGCGCATCTGCAAGGATGCGGGCATTGCGGTTCTGCGCTGCACTCGGATCCCGTACGCTCAACCGGCCCGGAACATTTGAATTCGTGCTCCTGTTCGCAAACGAGAAGATTATATCGAATGGAAAATTATTTTTGCCTCGTAAAAATTCGTGAAAATAAACAATTTCCAATCGAGCATGATGAACGTTGTTTAATCTTTAAACAGCGTTATCGTTCGAATTTTACTTTATTCTGCTATTAAAAAATATATTGGCACAGTATATTTATAAATAAAGAATTTTGAGAATCGTACGAATAATTTAAATTATCGTGTGCTTTACTATACGTGTTGAAAAATTGTTCATTGAAACATTAAAAAATAATAATTTATAATATAATTTAATTAAATTCTATCGTGAATAGAACGTGGCAGATGAATAAAAGAATAAAATATTGATCGTTCCTTTTGTACGTTAGATTAAATATGTTCGATAAAAATAATAATTTATTCAATCGAACCTGTACATCGGCGATATTTCGATCCTTCAAATGAATTGGAGAGGCACATTTTGTGTGCTGGCCAAGTCTCGGGTAACTTTTTAAATGCCGAGAGAGCCAGGCTAAGTGGCAATCGCAGGACAATGGGTTGTCCACCAGTTTCAACGTCCGCAAATGCGAAAAGCCATTCAACATTTCCTTCCCTAATGTTGTTAATTTGTTATTGTTCAACATTCTGTAACAGAGGAGCAATAATAATATGTGTATCAATCAAAGTTTATTCCTGTTTAATTGTCGATAATTACGATCATAATTATCCACTTACAGTATTTCCAAATCCTTCAACTCTCGTATTGATGCTTCATCGATGCAGGTTAACACATTGTTGTCAAGTAATCTGAATAACAACATTTGTACATACAATACAATGAATAAATTAGAATAGAAAATACTCGAAATATTTCTAAATACTTTTACGAGACATTCATTGTATAAATATTTTTTATATTTCAATTTTATAATCGTATTAATTGCAAAAAATGGTGTGAGAGAGTAAAAGTGTTCAGCACGTGAAATTCTGAATCTACTAGCATCATTTCTTTGAAATGTCTGACTAACGTGACTGATACTACTTCATAGAGCATCTTCGTCGTTTCGATTAGGTAGAGTTCGACTTTATTTAGAGAATATCTGTTACAATATTTCAATGATATATTGTTTACAAAAAAAATTAGTTCAGATTCCACTTACAAATATTTTAAAGATGAAATTCCTCTGAGTGTCTTTGGTCCAATCGTGGCAATTTGATTGTGGCTAAGGTCTCTGAAACATAAGTGTTTTAATGTAAAAATAAACCATTTGCAAATTATTTCTTTCAAGAATAAAATATTTTTACTATGGCGTTCATCAGAAGAAAAATATTTGCCAAACGAATTAAATTATATCACTATTCCAATCAAATAAATTACGATTTATTCAAGATCGTTATATTTTATTTCACGTACATAAATATAAATAAAATTGTTTATTGAAAATTAATTCGCAATAAGATTCTCCATTAATTCCATTCTCTCAAGAACAATCGAACAGAAGCGTTCATGTCTATTAAGTTAAAGGGTAACGTTCGAGAAGACGTTCACGATCGATCGCAAGAAGTAAGAAAGTTGAACTGTAATAGTTCGGTTCGTTGACCTTTTCATAACTTTTATGTCTTCGAGCGAAAGTTGTCTTATTTCCAATGGCGAGCAACACCGGTGTGTGTTCCAGTTTGCGGCTTGTGTCGGTCTCAAGTTCGTTCCGCGCATAATCTATTATTTAAAAACTTGGTCGAGTGTCAACTTTATTGCGACCCTTCTGGATCTCCCTTCCCCGTGGAAAATTCTTTGCAGACAGTTCGTAACTCACGTGTGACCGTGCGCACGTGCACAAGTCACGTGGGTGGCTATAGGCCTCTTTAAGGTTTCACGGGGTCGTTACACGAGTAACGAGTGACCATTTCCACGGTCTCACGTGACACGTCCGTTTCCACGAAATGGAAATGTCTTTCAAACAGTGTCAAGATGTCGTTCGTAGGAAATACGGACGTTACGGTATTAAATTATTAATCGATATCAATAGACCAATGGAGGAAGAGAATCGAGACTAGAATTAAATTAAAAATTGATATTATAGTTGTATATCATTATAAAAATTGTAGTTGAATTTTCTTTATATTTAACTCGTTAAACAGACAATCTTTACACAGTGTTTCTAACCAATCGTATCGATAAGAATTGAACATAATTATTACACGCAAATATTTCTTCGACTTTACAATTAATTTATAATTCAAAATTTGATAAAAAATATCGTTTAGAGAAGCCCAATTACGTATTTAATCGAAACGTTGGAATTAATCATCTGTAATCTTTATAATTTAATTATCTACTCTATAATCTTAGAAAAAAAATATCAATCCAAGTATATGAGAAAAAAGGCGAAAATCGACGACAACAATTTGCATCCGAGAAAATTGTTATTGGAATCGGTGATATCAAAGTAACGCAATAATAAATAATCTCTGAGCATACACGTTAATATAATCGAGGTATTAAATTTAATTATACAATTATCAACGCTATCATTAACGTGTATTTAATACCGATACGCTGTACGACATTCCTACGATATTCATCGCGGGACAGGTCCCGTGAAATTAACCGGAAACTGTTTTCTTAACAGAATGCGCTTCATCATATTTATCGTCATAATTTCCTCGGTACGCGGCCACCATGAATAATGCATGGCAACGCAACGTTTTTCGAGTGCAACTCGCGCTTAACGGTAGAGTCAATCACGATAATGGATCCCTGGCTAAACCGGAGGTTCATTTAAATAGATTGCGTTACGTCTCGCGTTGCAAGATCCTCCTGTTCGAGCCTTTCCTCCTCGATGCACGAGTTGAACCAGACGTTCGCGATGATAGGTTAGAGGTCTTGCCGTTTCGTTCAACGTTGACCATCCATTGGCTTCGTAACCTGTAATTATGTCCGCTAGAGGGATCGTGGTCGGAGGAAGAGAGAAAGAGGGAACAAGACGAATCGTCGTGGACGAGACGAAGAAAGAAAAATAAGGAACAGGATATTTGTGTATTTTTCCCCACGATAAATCGCAATATTTCTCTAATGCAAGATAGTCGATTTTTAAAATAAATTTTCACGATTTATTCACGATAAAAGTCCAAGACAAGATCAATTATCCTTTGTTTAATTGCGAAAAGAATTTGTTAAATTTTGTGATGCTAGGTTTGTGATTTTTGTATTGTAAAATTTAATTTTACTGTGTTATACTCATATTTCGTGTTAATCATTATCATTAGAATGATAGAATATCGTCTTTTGCATAATTTTACTTCGTGTACTAAGTAAAAATCTTCGATGACTCCGCGTGATAATTGATTTTCAAATTTTTTTCTTATTTCTTTATCTATAAGTTTTAACTATTTCATTC